GTCTAGAATCCATGAGAATTTGAAATTCTGTTCTGTATTTTCTTCCCTTTCGATCAGAAATTTTTGATCAAAATGTTCAGTAGTGGTAGCTGGGCACCAACCAGTTCTGGTCTCATGGCAAAAGAGGTAGTGACCCACTTCTAATGAATGGAATATGATTGAGTGATGATACGGCATTTACAAAACTCATGAAAGGTGTGGCTTCCTTCTTGCACTCTTGGATTACACATTCTGAGAGAAGCAAGATGACATGTTGGAAGGACACTCAAATAGTCCTAGGGAGACATCCAAGTGTGAGAGCCTGAAGCTAATAACCAGTAACTGCCATTAACCAGTGCAGAATCAATGTTTTCTGCCAGCAGCCATGTTAGTAAGCCATCTTGAAAAGAGGATCCTCCAGCCCCTTTGAGCCTTCAATTGGCTGTGTTAGTCCCAGGTCTTGAAAGGAGTGCCGGCGCGAGGAAGCTACCACAGACACCATAATGCAAAAGCAAAAGGAAAGTTTATTCAAGCTCGAGCTCGGACCCTCAACCGTCACCGACGCAGCGGTTCAGGATTGAGAGCCTCAAACAAAGGGAAGGGGGTCTTTTATCGGGGATGGAGCAGGAACGGGGGAGTTTCAATCAGGAAATTACAGGCTTGGTTGTCACTTTTCGAATTGCACGTGTTCCTACTTGATTGGCCCTGCCCCGTGGGCCGAGGCTGCAATGGCGTTTCTGACTATTTTAGGTATAGGAATTTTAAGTATTTTCCTGATATTTACTGATTGGTTGTTGCTAGGAGGTATCTATGGGGTCAGGGAAATCAGGACTTCAGGTTCTTCTCTATGATTCACTGATTGGTTGTTGCTCGGAGAAGTAAAGGAGAGGAGGGGGTTTAGGACTCTGTGGGGTAAAGCCCTGAGGCGTGGGGAATGTGCTGGAGTTCCCAGCACAAATGGCTCCTAGTTAAAGAATAGTTACCTGGAGGGCTTAGTACAAACGTGTGGTCTCACAGCTGCAGCCCCAGCCAACAGTTTGACTGCCATCTCATGAGAGAGAGACTGAGCCAGAACCCCCAGCCAAGCCATTCCTGATACCTGACCACAGACCCTGCAAGATAATGTTTGTTGTTCTAAGCTGCTAAATTGTGGGGTGAGTTGTTCTGCAGCTGAAGATAACTAGTGAAGTTCCCTAGATTACATCTTGATGTACAATTGCTGCTTAAGTTCCAGCTACTACCTCTGCACTCCAGCCTACTGGAAGAAGGGGGGGACATGTTCCTCCTCTTACATGGCACTTCCTGGATATTGCACGCACCTCTTTCACTTACATTTCATTATCTATGAGACGGATATAACACATCTATCTCCAAGAGAGGCTAGGAAACATAGTATTTATTCTGGGTGGCCATGTGCCCAACTACATTTGTGGCTGTCAGTGAACACAAGAAGCCTGTGATCATTTTACTTGGAAGATGGATCAAAAGTAAATTTTTATTTTCTGTGGGTGGGTATTTTGTTTTCTGTATCTATCGGCCAAGATATGTTCTTAGCCTTACAGTAACTGAAGTAGCTTACTATAAACTTCTTTCTAGGCCAGAATACACGCTTTACTCCTGACATCAGTTGTTTTCAAACTTGAGTGTGTATCAGAATCACTGGGAGAGCTTACTAAAATAGATTGTTGAACTCCACTCCTAAATTTTCTGATTTGGCAGATATGGGATGGGACCTAACAATTTTCATTTCTAACAAGTTCTCAGGTGATATGGACATGACTGGGCCTGAGACCCACACCTTAAATGATAGTTGGGCATTTAAACGGTCCTTAAATAATTTGCTATCAAACCTTTCTTTTACCGTTTTATGTTTCCTGCAAATGAAACCCAGGCTAAATTAACATGCTGTCCTGTGGTGGTAGCACAAAGTATTAAATAAGCCTCAATTTAAAAAATAAAATTACATCTCAAATGCTTAGAACAGTGATAGCCTACTTATTTTGAGAATGTTATTTAAATCCAAAGAACAGCTCTGAATTCAGTCAGTTCCTGTAGGAGTCACCACTCTGTAACATTTGGAAACATGTTCATTCTAAGATAATCATTCTGCAAGGAAATGACACTTCTTTTTTTCACCCCAAGAAAATAACACAGGAAGCACTGGGCAGCCTTTGGCCAGTTGTTTTTGGAAGCACTTTTAATTCACTATTGCACAACTCAAACAGAGGAGGTGGTTAGAAAGGAAGGCACTTAGTAATTTCAACCAGGCACCATTAACAAAGACATATATTAAAAGCATGGGTAGTCTAGGAATATCTGAGAGGTAAAGAACTGACTCCTTATGTGGCAAACTTGTCATCCAGAAGTCAGGAATGATTAAAGTTTCCCACTGTTGTTCATAGACCCTGAGACTGGACATAAAGAAGCTCCAAAAGAGCTGGGCAAAAATGGTCCAATTAGACTGAGTTGTCTGATCCCAAAATATTATTTTTATTTTCATCCTACATGACACCAAAACTGGCTATGTGCTATCATATGAACACAACTATAGATTGACAAAAGGTACTGGTCTTCAAGGCCTATGAGCCTCATTCTGGAAGCTCCAAGAAGATTCCTAGTGATGCTTCCATCCTCTGGATACACTTTCTTCCCTCTTTAATACTGTTTCTTCATATAAACCATCGTCTAAAGAAAATGTCCCACTTCTACTCTAATGAACCCTGTGTCTCAGTAGCCAAAGATTGTAATTAGGTTCTAAACTTGGATTTGTGATCACCTCCATCCCTCCCTCCATTTATCCCTCTACCACAAATCCATTTCCTCTAGTAAGGAGTAACCCACGGGTGAGACCCCGGCACAGTCATTTGCCCCATTCCTAATTGCAAGGATTATTGTGTTATCACATGGATACAGAACACACATTCCAGCTACTTCTCATGGATTCCTCTTCTGTAATATATGGATACAGATATGTGCAAAGTGAACTAAGAAATAAGAGCTAAGTGGAGTTTAACTGCTACATCAGGAAATATAACTAACTACTAACAGGGAATGGAGGAGGGGTTCTGAGAGAGAAAAGGATAAGACTTTTCATTGAGAAGGTTGATATGGAATGACATCTACTCTTGCCAAAGCCAAATTTCTCAGCTCCTCCAACTAAGAAAACAAACAGTATCACCATCTCACAGAATCTTGAGGTGCATGTCTGACTTCATGGGAAGTTCTTAGAATTTTAGAATCTTAGAATGTTGTTATTGTTGTTTCATGTTGATTCTGACTCATAGCAACCATATGGGACAGAATAGAACTTTTCAATAAGGTTTTGTAGGCTGTAATCTTTTCTCCTGCAGAGATGCCAAGTGGGTTCAAACCATCCACCATTCAGTTAACAGCCAAATACTTAACCAGGGTTCCTTTTGAGTCTGAGTGTCTGAATACCGAAAGAGATCAGCTTGTTGTTGTTATGTGCCATCGAGTCGGACCCGACTCATAGTGACCCCTCCTTGGATTTCTGAGGCAGAATCACTACAGAAGTAGATTGCCCAACCTTCCTTCTGGGGAGTGGCTGGTAGGTTTGAACCACCAGCCCTCTGGTTAGCAGTCAAGTGCCTTAGACACTATGCTACCAGAGCTCCAAGATCAGCTAGTACCAGTGATTTTTCAAACTAGAAAACTGACCCCAGGGAAAAGAAAGTGACTTGCCGTAATTAATCTTAAAGTTTCCTTAACTGTAATACTGAAATCTGGACTCAGATCTTCTGATTCTCAGACCACTGTCCATAGTCTTCTGCTTTTTCATGGGGGGAGGGGCACCTCATGATGGAGTTATTGCTAAGAGTTAAAAGAACAACCCATTTCCCTACTCCACAGGAAAGGTTCAGCGCGTCCATATGTCCATCCTCCCAGGCTTCCAGGATCAAAGCCCTTATGGATCCATTGGCTGGGCAGCAGCTCCCTGGAATGATGCCAGGCTGGAGTATCTATATCCAGCCAAATCTGTGTAGTCTTCTTATGTTCTTTTTCCTTGTTATCAAATAAAATTTCAAATACAATTGTATTTATAAACAAGCCTCATCGTGGTTTCAGGTGCCCCAATGAGAAAAATAAAGTGAAATGGCACTTTGGCCTTTCTGATTAAAGACTGAGTTCAAATCAGGTTGCCTGGCCTATAGGACAACAGGCCACACATGCTGACACAACTGCCCCGTCAATCCACCCTGGCACTTTTACGCAGCAGGCTCAGAGAGCCATAATAATGATTTTTCCACAAGACACCCAAGAGGTAGATAAAGGCAATCAGCCCCATGGATGGACGTAGTACACAGAGGCACAGGGGTGGGTGTGTGGCGGTGCCTTGGACAAGGGGAAGAAGGCTTAGAGGGTCAGGGCCAGACATTGGACTCTAACTATAGCACTCTCTTTGGTCAGGAGAGAAATCCTCAGTATATAGCTAATGTCTACAGCAGTGAGAGTGTGCAAGTAGGAGGTAAGGAGATGGTGCTGGACACACTTCTAAATGAACCTCCAGGTTCATTCTGGAACTTTCAATGAAACAAACCTGAAGGACTGTGATTGTGAACTGGAGGGTTCTAGTCATGCATGACCCCTGGGTGGCCCTGCCATCCTCACTTCCAATAAGTCAAAGAATTAGACAGCAAGGACTCCCCATGTGTGATGGCCAAAGGTACAGGCAGCTCTGATGGTTCAGCTCTGCCCTGACTCCTTCAACCTGAGGAGACGGGGGTACAGATAACACAGCTGGGTGCAAAACTCCACAGTTCCCACCACGGCTGCTAAGAGGCAGTCCCAGGAACCATAAATTCATCCTCAGGTTGGAGCTGAGGCTTGGCGTTCCTTCCGCTGGAAGGAGAGGCCTCAGCCCTGCCTTTCTCTTCAGGGAGAATGGCCCAAAAAAGGAAAGCTGGCTTCTCACTGAGGTAATAAAAAAACACCTGCTTAGCCAAAGAAGTCACCTTCCAGCTAAGCAGGAAGAATCCCTGTAGAAGGCATAGGCTGAGGAGCTCCCCTTATCAAGACACATCACAACTTTTAAATTACACATGTCCCTACACACAACACAGCCATACACACATATACACAGAGACCCACACTTCCACATGCTGACATCCTCCCACCCACCCCACTTTAAGCCCAAATCGCACCCCACAGACACTGTCCTCTGTAAACACAATAGGAGAGACTCCTACAATCCTGGAAAACGTCTGGTAATGATCTGAGGAGGATTGCTTGTTATGAAGTGCCCCGGTAGGTGATATTGGTGAAGGTGGAGATAGCCTCTTTATACAGTGGGTTGTTGGCCTGAGGAGAGAACAGAAAAGTGCCTTACAGTGAATTTCTCAATCCTTTCATGGCCGGAAGGTTTAAATTTGACAAGTCTGCCTGAGAGACCCTTCTCTAATAGCTTGATGCTCATTTTAACCACACATTAGCTCTTAGAATGGGAATGGAGTTAGAATGCCATCCTGCCACTAATTCAAAGAGGTTAAACTCAGCCCAGGGCACACAGTGGTGGGGCAGTGGTAGAAGTCTCACCTTCCTGAGACCCTTAGGAACAAACTGTCAGCTTAACCCAGACCTCCGGGGAGTCAAACAGCCATTTGGAAGGTCCAGAAAAAAGTGAAAATGTAGAAGATGAATCAAAGGAAAATCCAGTAAAATTAAGTACATAGAAGGTTCCCAGTAAAGGCTTGTCTGATTGGATTAGACCAAAGTAAACTGGAAATGAAGGAAGCATAAGTGTTCAGTCTGATCATCTCATCATTTGAATTAAAAAAGTGGAGAATGAAGTGAAATGTCATCTATTTCTGAGGGGCAGACCCACAAAGGAATTCTATGGTAACCTAATTCTCTCCCACAAGTGGGCAACTTATTTAAATTCCTTTGCTAAGTGCTCAATTTCCTTTTTTGTAAAATGAAAATAATAATAGTGACCACCACTAGGGTTGTTATACAGATGAAATAAGTTAATACAAGAAAAGCATTTAGAACAATTCCTGGCACTTGGTAAATATTCAGTAAACAATTACTATTACTATATTTTCTCAATTTCTGGTTTAATGCTTTAGCGAGTCGGATCTGACTCATAGTGACCCCTCCTTGGGTTACCAAGGCGGTACCTCTACAGAAGTAGATTGCCCAATCTTCCTTCCAAGGAGTAGCTGGTGAGTTTGAACCGCCAGCCTTCTGGTTAGCAGTCAAATGCCTGAGGCACTATGCCACCAGAGATCCTTTGACTTTGTTAACATATGTTATATGTTGTCAATGTAAAATTCTCATTTGTCCTGTCTCCCTCAGTTGCAGAATACATTTCTTTTTAATTTCCTCACAATGTTCAGAGCAGAGCTGGGCACTAGGTGTCCTCAGCTAATAGTCACTGATATGACTCATGGTCATTGTATGGAAGAAATACACAATCAGGGGTTTCCAGGAAGCTTAAGGACAAGGGACGGTCAGGCCATCTCCTAATTTCCGGAACTGGAAACTATGGTGTGAGCTGAACCTGCCACCCTGAGAATCTACTGCTTCCACTTCAGGCTCTGGAATCAAAATTCCCAGCCCAGCCTCTTACCGTGTCCCATTTTGCTCTGGCTCGCTCTTCCTCAAATTTAGCAAACTCCTTCCGGTCATGGATGGTGATGAGGAGTTTCCAGATGAGCAGAGTAGCAAGGCCAATGAGCAGAATGGCTCCCATCACTGAAAGCAAGACCACCAGGATGTCGGGGCCCTTGGGACACTCTATCAGGAAAGAGCACAGAGCAGGGTAGTTGTGAATGAATCAAGAATCATCTGAACAGACTATGAGCAAGGTGTTCTTGACAAAGTAAGTACCAGAAAGGTCCCTGAAGGAAACAGGACAGTCTTTTGTTTGTTTGTTTAACACTATGCAAAAAAAAAAAAAAAAAAAAGCAGTCTTTAGGACAGGAATAATTTGTCCTGAGTGGTTTAAATTTAAATTAGAGGTTGTGAATTGGTAACCCATGGGTTGAATCCATCCCACTCTGCTGGTTCATACAAGTGTTCATGAGAAAAAAATGATTTTATTGGCAACATTGAAGAATGAGATTTTTCTCCCCAAATTTTAGGTTTTTCTTTGTCATCTCTTTAAAGAGAAATAAAAAGACCTACAAACACTGAGCCAGCCTTCCTACATGGCAGCAATTATCCAGAGCTGAGGAGCAGCCGCCCCTTTTAGATGGAACTCATGGTCTCTAGTTTTCCACAGTCCTCACCACTCTGTATTTTTTCCCTAAAACCAAGGCCTAGTGTGACTTGTCATTGTATTGTATCTGTCTTACTGTGGACTTTGGAGCCAAACTGCCTGGGAGTGAGACCTGGATTCCCACTTATTTTTTCTGTGTGACCTTGGGTAAATTATTTAACCTTTCTAGATGTCTATTTCTTGTTTCTCCATCTTTAAAATGGGGAAAGTAATAACACTGACCTCAAAAACTTATTATAAGGAATAATCAAGTTAATGTATTTTAAAAACCCAGAACACTGCCCAGCACAAAGTACTCAATAATTATCAGCTACCATTATTACTGTTGTTATTATTATACCCAACTTTTCACTAATTTATTTGCCTACCTAGGCTTGACGGCACATAACACCACCACCACCACCTAGCCCTCTAGGCATTTGTATTTGTTATCCTGGTTCAGACATTTACATTCATGAGTCCTGGGAACCCAATGGCTTTTTAACATCCTTAGAGACCAAGAGGCCAAGACAATATTCTAGGTTCTTTCCCAAAATATATAGTCATCTAAAATCCTAACCCCATTGAAAGCCAACTTCCTGTTTAACCCCAGTTAATAACCAAGACAGACGGATGTGCCTCACCCATGTAAGGGACAGGCCTGAGTATGCTCATTATCTAGAGCTCGGCTTCCATAAGCTACAGGTGTCTGATGGGTGACCTGACTCAGGTAAATCCTCAGGTGTTATACAATTAGGAATTTGTATATGTGAGTATGGGTAAGTATGGAAAAGGAGTACCCACTTACCACACTGTGTCCTGCCTTCTTCCTTAAATATACACCCGGTACTCACTACACACTATACAAAAATAACCACCACCACAAACTCGAGCTGGCTATTTTCCAATCCACCAAATTACAACCTCTGTGTATAATTAAAGAAGTGCCTCGAGAAAGGCTGTGAGGTTCCAGGGTTCAAGTTCCTAGCAGGAGGGCCCAAATTCTGGGAAAAGCAATTATGAACTCTCTGGAAGATAGGGGTAGGAACAACCTTGAAACCTCAAAGTGAAACTGCCTCGATTCTGCATGTTAGTTGGACAGGACAGGTAGATTGCCAGAAAGTTGTCAAGGGGAAAAAAGGACCTATTAACCATTTGTCCGGGAGCTCTGATAGCATAGTGGCTAAGGCACTTGACTGCTCACCAGATGGCTGGCAGTTCAAACCCATCAGCCACTCCTTGGAAGGAAGGTTGGGCAATCCTACTTCCGTAGTGATACTGCCTCGGAAACCCAAGGAGGGGTCGCTATGAGTCAGGGCTGACTCGACGGCACATAACAACAACAACAACAACCATTTGTCCAGAAAGAAGTGGATAGCAGGCTTCCTGGAAGCAGAAGACAAGATCAAGTGGTCTCTGGAAGGCCCTCCCAGCCATGGTGTGTGGGGGGGAAGTGACCCAATGCCAATGAAGTCTGGGTAGGGCTGAAAGATTTAGCAAACAAAAGTACAGGACACTCAGTTAAATTTCAATTTCAGATTAACTACAAATAACTTTTTAGTGTAAGTATATACCAAACATTGTATGGGGCATACTGTATTTTACCTGGGAACCCTATCTGGGAGTAATGAGGACCCATTTCAGGGGAGCGCATTCCACATGAGCCAAAGCTCTGTTTGGCTGATGCCAATTTCTTTGGCAATGCTTTTTGTACTCCTTTTAAAGAGAGCATCTGCAAGGACCAAACGACAACCCACTGCCACTGAGTTGATTCCAACTCACAGCAAACCTATAGGACACAGAACTGCTTCACAGGGTTTCCAAGGCTGTAAATCTTTACGGAATCAGATTGCCTCATCTTTCTCACAGGGGATGGCTGATGGATTCCAACCACCAACCTTCTGATAGCACTTGAATGCTTTAACCACTGTGCCACCAGGGCTCCTCCAGTTGGGGAAGGAGAGGGGAGTAATTTTCTCCCATGCTCTGGGACTTCTGGAGATAGTTGAGGGTAGGGGAGGAGGAAACCAGAACCTGGAAACACAAAGCGGCAAGACAGAAAATATGGAATACTGGATCTCTGTATGTAAGGCAATATCCTTTCTTTACCTTCCTTCTCCTACATAAATGGTGAGACCTCTTTGAAAGGTAGATGAGCAATATCCCAGACAGGGACACAACACTCTCCTCTCCCCGAGGAGAGAGCCAATAGCGTAGGTGCCAGGGCTATAGCAGCCCTTCATAAGGATGTGTAAGATGAGAGGGCTCCTCCAGATTTTCTGCCTCCCTTTTCTACCTTCAGGAGCTCTGGTGGCACACAGCATCTAAGGCATTTGACTGCTAACCAGAAGGTTGGCGGTTCAAACCCACCAGATACTCTGTGGAAGGAAGATTGGGCAATCTACTTCTATAAAGATTTACCACCTCCGAAACCCAATGGGGGTTGCTATAGTAGGAATCAACTCGATGGCAGTCTCATGATCCTTGCTACATTGAACCCACCTCTGCAACCACTGTGTCAGTCCATCTCATTGAGTCTTTCCCTTTTCACTGACCTACTTTACCAAGAATGACATCCTTCTCCAGAGACTGGTGCCTTCTGACAACATGACCGAAGTATAGGAGACAAAGTCTGGCCATTCTCACTTCTAAGCAGCATTTCAACTGTACTTCTTGACATTATCACCTTAAAACTGGCCTGGTATTTGCCCCTTGATGAGATCCATACCTACCTTCTTCCTTTCCTCACCTACCTTCTTTCTCTTCATCTTATTTTTTAGCAAGTCACTTCTTGCTAATACTTACATTTACATATGACCCTTATCCTCACAACAGGCCCTAACTTATCACTTGTAAGGCCAGGCTTGACATGGGGGTATGAACAGGTGATGGGAGGAAATTACTGCTAAGCCTTGTTCTCCCATTCCCTGAGCCCTCAGTGTTCACTCACCTGGTTCTTCCACCAAATACAGGATGGACTTTCCACTGCTATCTTCATAATACTGGAATCTGACCACGCAGTCATCTTCATTCTTGTAGGTACAATTCACTGCATCCTTGCCAGTGTCCTCTGGAGGGAGGGAATTGTGGAGCAATAAAAAGTGAGTCAATTCTTGGAAGATGGGCTCACCCCCTCCCCAAGCCCCAGTCATAAGACTTATGGAAAGGTATGTAGCAGGAAACTCTATGTCCGACATTAGGCAAAAAAACCTAGATTCCAGGTAGCTGTTGTGCCTGGCAATTGCCTCCAGATGATGCTCACTGATGGATTTTTCCTCTCACAGACTCATTTTGGTTCTTATTCCTTCCTCTGGAAGGAACATGATATAGTAGGTTCAAATGGATTCAAAACCTAGCTCTACCACCTATCAGCTAAGAGATCTTGGGTAAGTTACTTGACCTTTACTGAGTCTCTTTCTTTATCTATAAAAGGAAAATAATACCTCTACCTCACAGGGTTATGGTGAGAATTAAATGGCACAAGTTAAACAATACCCAACACATGGTGGGTATTGTCTGCCCTCTCTCATTTTTCTCACCTTGCTCATTTATTCTCAATAGTTTCCGAACTCAGGCTTATATTTCTTCCATTTCTGCTTCTGATCCAGTGTACCTCTGCAGGGGTGTCTTCTCTCTGACACCCATCATGTTTTCTAGGCTTCATCTCTTCTACTTCTAAGACTTGTTATTCTGCCAGTGAAACAATCCATTATCCTCCACAAGTTGCACTATGTCCTGCACTGATGAATCCAGATGGGTAAAACTGACACACAATGAGATTAAGCAAATGTACCAAGATCACACAGCAAACAGGGATGGGGCAGGGCTAGAACATGAGTTTCAAAGGTACATCCTATAGGCCTGAACACTGAATACTCAATAAACCAATTGAGTTTTGTTCACATATTCAGTAACACAATGGTATTGTAGCACAGTGGAAAGAGTAATGATTTAACGATCTAATTCTAATCTAACTCACCACTTCCTTGCTTAGGCAAATTACTTAACCTTCCTAAGTCTCAATTTCCTCATCTGCAAAATGATGATGATGATACTATATTGTTGTAGTTATGTGCCGTCGAGTCAGCCCCGACTCATAACGACCCCTCCTTGGGCTTCTGAGGCGGTTTCACTATGGAAGTAGATTGCCCAAGGCAATCTCCTTCCTTCTGAGGAGTGGCTGCTGGGTTTGAACTGCCAGCCTTTTGGTTAGCAGTCAAGTGCCTTAGGTACCATGCTAGTCATCATCAAGTAGTACTATAGTCCTACTTCATCAAGTTGTTGGGAGATAAATAAGATAATGTATTTGAAAGATACACATTATTTAATTCAATATCTTAAAGGAACTCTGGTGCAGTGGTTAAGGTACTAGGCTGCTAACCAAAATGTTAGCAGTGCAAACCCACTAGCTGCTCCAGGGGAGAAAGATGAGGCAGTAAGCTTCTGTAAAGATTTACAAGCCTTGGAAACCCTATGGGGAAGTTCTACTCTGTCCTACAGGGTTGCTATGACTCAATGGCAGTGGGTTTTTTGGTTTGGATATGAGAGATACTTTTACAAATTATAAAATTCCATACAAATAAGCATTTATTATTATTATTATTATTATGGGAGATGGGAGGCAGGAGAAATATTTGTCAACTCATTTGTAGTACCCACCTGGTCTAGATCATAAAAATACCTCAACATCTCAGCAGCCTCTCCCCTCTGAGCTAATCATAGCAAACCCAGTCTTTCCCAGAGGATAAAATGTCTCTTCAAACTTCATGTCCAAAAGGCCACCCTCAGCTGCCCTTCAGGTATGGAATTGAACCCATACCTGTGGCTTCCCGCCAAACAAAAGACAGGCATATGAGTTGAACATTTACCCGAGGTAGATACACTCCTTGGAGAGAACAATCATGGGAGAAAGAAGGGCTGCTTATACACAGAGAGACAGCTCAGGGGGCAGGAGTGCATAGAGGGATGGACACAGGAAGAGGTAACTATCGAGAGGAAGTGGAAGGGGGTCTCTTGCATTGGGGTAAATTGTAGTCAATGTCATGAGACAAAGTATATGTGAACTGCTGTATGGTAAATGAATTTGCTCTGTAAACTTTCACCCAAATCACAATTTAAAAAGGGGGGGGGGCACCCTCACTCCAGTCCCATTTCTGGTATTAGACAAAGGATCCAGAGAGCTGACTCTTTTCCATAAAATCCCATCCAGAAGCCGAACAACTGGCTGTGTCTTACTGTGGCTCTCTCTGAAAACATGTTTTCTGCCTTTGTGGGAGATTGCTATCTTTGGAGAGATTGCCATCTTGCTGGTACCACCCAATCTTCAGCTAACCCAGGTAACCATATTAGATGTGCTGACAGCAGCAAAGCCCATTTCCTTTAAAGTCAAGATGAAGTATAGACCGAAAAAGTTCAGCCAAAAGTTTTACTCTCCACTATTTGTATTTCTATATTGTTCCAGGAAGGGAAACCAGACAGCCAGAAGGAATTTAGGATACAGATTTTGGGGACAAATCCCTAAGAGTAAAAATTCCTTCCAAACTAACAAAGCCATATGCCTAAGCATTGCTTAACCCCAAAAACCTAACACACAGCTATCAAGTCAATTTTGACTCATAGCAAACCCCATTGAGTTTTCAAGGTGGTAAATCTTTACAGAAGTAGATTGCCTCATTTTTTTTCTGGGGAGCAGCTGGTGGGTTTGTACTGCCAACCTTCTGGTTAGCAGTCAAATGCCTTAGGCACTGTACCACCAGGGCTCCTTAATCTCAAAGGAGTGCTTATTAAATGCTACTGGCCTACTAAGTTCAGATGATGACTGACAGGGGTGACCATCTCCCAGTTCTATGTCTCAGTTTCTTCATCTGTAAAATAAGGGTGTGTGATCTTCCTTTTCTTGGGGAAATGGGACAAGGTTGCCTGATGAATATATTCCTTAGAAGTTATTTGCAGGGTCTTGCTGAGTTTATGGGCTCTAAAAGCAAAAAGGGGAAGGACTGCTGAATAATTAGTAGGGGTGCAAGAGGACTTTGAGGAAGTCAGCTTTTATTAAGTGCCTACTGTGCATTAAGCCTGCACAAAACTCCTGTGAGGTAGAAACCATTATGAGAATTGGAGAGATTCAACTGTCATTAAATCAGGAAATTTTGGAATCTGAGTATGTGGGACTCTAAGTCACAGTATACTTACTGAGTTCCTTGACGGTCTCTATTTCATCACGGCAGTAACGGTTGCAGGTATTTGCCTGGTACAGGTCTCCCCGGTCAAACTTCCTACACTCCACGCACTCCCTAAAGGAAAGAGGAAACAGGGATTAAGGCAAGAGTGTATTCCAGTCCAGCTCTGGCCTCCATAAGCAATTAGCAAAGCTGCTCCTCCTCAGTAAAAAATAAATAAATAAATAAAACAAATAAAAATTAATTAAAAATCTGTAAGATGTTGCAGGAGGCCCACATAATCAGTTCTGGAATTCAGGGGTGGGAGTGCCCTCTTCATTCATAGGTAGGGCCGGCAGCTGAAGGCCCCAGCTCCTTTATTAAACTTCCTCATGTCCAATCCAGGGCTGTGGCAGAAGGGTGAATCTTATGCCAGTTCTAGGAGCTTTACGTCAGAACTGGTTACATAATTTGGGAGCCCAATATAAAATGAAAATGTGGGGTCTCGTGTTCAAAAGTTACTAAGAATTTCAGACAGAGATAGCAGAGCATTCAACCCAGTACAGAGGCCTCTACAAATGCAGGGGCTCCAGCAAACCCAGGGCCCCATGTGACTTCACATGAAGCTTACCCTTCTTAAAATGGTAAGAGCAACGGCAGTGCCATGGCCTTGTGGGGACAGGGCTTCCTCTGACCCACAATGGGTCTGTACTGGTGAGATCTCCTTTTCTCAGTGTCCTTCATAACTCTAACCCACACCTCTCAAAGAATCAGAATATCAGCATTGGAATGTCCCCTGCAAGTTAGGCAGTTTCACCTCTCTCCCAACTCAGGAGAATTCAGGATGTCACCCTAGCAGAGGAGTTTCTCCAAATGAAGTCCATCTGGTACTATTTTGGTCCCTTCCCGGTTGGTTCTACCTCCATCCTCCCCAAAGCTTTCAGTGGAAGGAAGGCAACTCATTACGTAGCTGGAGCAGACTCCTCTCCCTAAAGCTTTGGTGAGTAAGAGACAAAACCCAGAGAGCTGGGGGTGAACCCTGATCTACCTCCCAGCCTCTCAACTCTCTCCAAGCTGCTCACTCACTTCTTAAAGGTGCAGGCATCAGGGCAGGTGGGACACTTCTCGCAGGTGTCCCCATAGGAGCCCGGCTGGATGCAGACACAGCTGCCACATTCGCACTTGCCCCGGCCACTGCACAGCAGCCCATTTGTGGACATGCATGTGTCAGTGCGCGTGGTACAGTTGCAGTAGTAGCCAGTCCAGTCAGAGTCACAGAGGCAGTCCCCACAGCTGCACTGGCCATGACCTGAAAGCACAAAGCCCGAGAAGGCAGGCCAGCTGGTGAGGCCACAGCCAGCCACCCTGTTCTCCCACCAGAGAGAAAACCATTGTCCTGGTTGACAAAGAACTGGCTCACTCCCAAAGGCAGGCCTATCCATAGGAACAGACTCAATTCTGTAGGTGGCCCAAGATCTGAGTCATGGTGGAGCAAAGGACTCTCAAACACTAAGCATCCATGTATATCAGAGTACAGCTGTGCTTCCAAGAGTTTTCGATGACTGATCCTTCAGAAGTAGATTGCCAAACCATTCTTCCAAAGCACCTCTGGTGGACTGGAACACCAACCTTTTGGTTAGCAGCCAATTATGCTAACTTTCTTCATCACCCAGGGACTCTTGGGGTGGTGGGCTGGACTGCTTAACTCACAACACCATAAGCCTCTAACAGTCATCCAACAAGCCTGGGGCATCATGAGTCGGAAGTGACTCGACAGCAACATATTTGGATTCTTTTGGATTTAAAAAGTGGCTCCTATACCCCTGCAGAACTGTGACTCATTCTCCTGTGCTCTGAATTAGGAAGGAGTAGATGAGTAATAAAAATCTGATTGTTGATCAGAGGAAAGGCAGAGGCCAAGGGAGGAAGTAACCTGAGTTGGTCTGAAAATCATACCACTGTGTGAGTAAAAGGACCCTGGGGAGAGGCAGGAGAGAACATGGCCAGGCTCACACAGCAACTAACCAGCACCCACTGCTGCCCTGAACTCTCAATGGATCCAACTAGTATCTCTTGGCCACTGTGAGTCCCTCTGCCAGTGACTTCAGCACCACAATGGCATTCAAGACTCAGGCATATCTTCACTGCCTTGGAAAGAAATGTCTGTTCCCAGGAAAGATGGGGAACACAACCAGCTGCCAGGTATCTGGAGAGCAGGGCTGTTAGGCTAGCAGGGGATGGGGAAAGAAAGGCCTGTGTGGTGGTTATGTTTGTATGTCACCTTGGCTGGGCCTGGTTGAGAGGCTGAGCAGTTGGTGGTAGTTATTCCCCATGATGAGACTGGCAATCAACTCCATGGTGGACTCTACCACAAGCAGCTGAGTAGCTGCCTTTGGGTATGTGGTCTGCTTCCTGTATATAAGGAGAAGCTTTGAGAATGGTCTGTAGCCTATGGCACGCTTGGACCCTGCATGCAGCTGTGTCATTGCTCAACAGCCTGCTATGCTCTGCTGAACTTGGAACTTACAATGGACTTAAGTTAATGGCCTGCCATGTGGTTTGGTAACATTGGGACTGTGCCTTTTTACTTGTCAACCTTGGGGCTTCTCTGCCTCAGCAGCCAGCAGCTGTCTGAGTGAAGAAATGCCTCTAGCTCCAGTGGGCCAGGAGAAGGAGGCAGAGCTGGACCCCAAGGTTGAGGGTCTTTCACTCAGCCCCTAGAGCTTGGCACTTTGAACTTGGACTTAAAGCCTCCAAATTGTAAGAATAAACTCCTGTTTGTTAAGGCCATCCCATTTGTCCTGTATTCCTGTCAGAGTGGCACTAGGTAACCAGAACAGCCTGTGTCTTAGACTGCATTCCCCAGAAATACAATTGGAGATTAAGATTCTTGTTGAAGTGATTTACTGGGGAAGTAGAAGGGAGAGAAGAGGCGAGCAGCATAGGGCAGGAGATAAAAGGTGGCAGAGACATGGCCTCAGCCAGAGACTCACTTCAGCCTCATCCCATGATGGGCTCTCACCACAGAGCTAGACCCACCTTAAGATTTTTGCAGCCCTTTATCCATCCATCTGTCAGAAGCCCCTGGGGAACACAAATGGTTAAGCACTAGACTACTAAACAAAAGGTTGGTAGGTCAAACCCACCCAGAGGCATCTTGGAGGACAAGCTTGGAGATCTGTTTCTGAAAGGTCAGAGCCTTGAAAACCTTGTGGAGCACATGTGGAATCACCATGGATCAGACTCAACTCCACAACAACCCATCAGCCATTGGCCAACATATGGGGGCAAGGCACTTCCTGTTGGCTGAGGTCGATTCTTCATAGAAGGGGCAGCTGCGAGCTATTAGCAGCCAACTCTCACAGCAGCTGGGGGATGGGTGTGCCAGCCAATAGAATGGGCCCCAGAGCCTTCGGCCATGGATCCCAGATGGGGAAAGGCCAACAGCACAGAGGACCTGGCAGCACTGAGGGGCCTCAGCTCCTCAGAAACCCTTGTCCCATAGTATTTCCTTTGTGAGGCTAAACAAAGTGGTCTTTGAGAAGATGTCTGCCAGGCCAGTCAGGGGATGAGGTCAAGAATGGAAGGGGCAGGCCAGAGCCAAGCAGGCTGACCCCAAGCCCCAGCAGGGTCAGCTCTTAAAGGCTGTGGTAATGTCACAGGTCTGGCGCTCCTCCAGCAAAAGGGAGGCTGAGCCTGGGTCTGCAGGGAAGTCAAAGGAGGCAGGTGAGAAATGAAGAAAAAGAACATGAGAAAGAGGAGGAATGAGAGAAGGAAGGAAGGAGAGGGAAAGCAGAGAGAGAGGAGGAGCAGGCTTCTCAGGCCAGAGGGAATGCAATCACTCTTCCCAAGCAGGGAGGCCTCTGGGCTCTCCTTTATGAGCCAATTCTTCCTTGAGATTTAACAGACATGCCATCTCCTCCAGGAAGACTCCCAGTCCTCCCCTGTCCACAATGGACCTCCCTCGAGTGGACTCCTATAATTCTCCCTGAGAACCCCTCACTTCTGGACGTGAATTATCCTTAGACAAATAAAGGGGGGTGGGGGGAGGGTTAGTTGCCACCGAGCCAATTCCAACTCATGTTTGGCTCACAGAGGGTACCTGATCGATCTGTGTTCATGGATGATGTGGCAAGTGGAAAAGTCCCTTGAGGACAAGGACATACCCTCTGATGTTTGAGACCGGGCTGCTAATAACAGACAAACATAAAGACCATGTCTCCAGTGGGGTGGGAGCACAGAGGAGTGACAGGGAGCTAGCTGGCTGCCATGCTTAGAGACTTTGTTGTTGTTGTTAAGGGGCTGGGAAATCACCAATCCATAGCACTTCACCTCAGGAGCCTCTGGCTTGTGGCAAAGGACTGGCCACAGAGCCAGCAGCTCTGGGCTGGGACAGTGATGAACTAGGCTGTAAGCTCTTAGATGTCAGGAATCATGCCCTCTTGTTCATCCACAATGACCTCATGCCTGGCACAATGCAGGGGCTCAAGGAATGTGTGTCCCTGAGTGTCTGTCACTGGAGGATGTGATGACAGCACCACAGGGCACAGACCTGAGGCCAGCAGGGCACCAACACCCCTGAAGTGGTGGTGGTGGGGAGCTAGGATTCCATCATCAATTACACTAGACACACTGAGGACGAACTGTTCTCGCACTAGTGGGAGGCAGGAACCAGGCTGCTGACCCGGGCAGCTTTGTTTTGTGGCTCAGTGGGGCTGGTGGCCAAAGGAAACACTCTCTGGCTGGGATCCCTCCCGTAGTGCCTCACATCAGACCAGGCCAGGACGGGAAGCTGGCCTCCCTTCAACCCTGGGCCTTCAGTAGATTATCTTTAGGTGTCGTTGTTGTTGTTATGTGCTGTCAAGTCGGACCTGACTCATAGCGACCCCTCCTTGGGTTTCCACGGCAGTATCACTATGGAAGTAGATTGCCCCATCTTCCTTCCAAGGAGTGGCTGGTGGGTTTGAACCGCCAGCCTTCTGGTTAGCAGTCAAGTACCTTAGCCACTATGCTACCAGAGCTCCCATCTTTCCTCCTTAATCCCAACCTTCTCCCCATCGGTCTCCCACCTCAAACTTACCCATTTCCTTCGGTACTTTGAATATGGCATAAATACTATTAAATATTAAAATGTGCTGAAATTTACTGCTATTGTTTGTATGTGTACATCTGTGTGTACCTGACCTCTCTTCCCACTAAATTCTCTCTCTTTCCTCCAATCTCTCTCTCTCTCTCAAATTCTATTGGCATGAATAAAGGAAATAATGACTAAATAATAAGTTTTATGTTATTGTGTATGCTTCCTATTATTTTGTCATGCTTTAGAATGCCACAGAATTACCTTTCTAAGCCATGACTATTCTAACATTAAAAAGAACATCTGTGTGCATTAGCTCAACTGTCAGAACTCAATGCTAAAGAAGCTAATTGGTCAGGGATTTGATCACCATAGGAGCCAATTAAAATCCCTCTGTTCCACTAACCATAGAATACACACATAACCTGATCCAACCAAGTCCAAATGGCAGTCATCAATGTCACATGAGGGATTAAGCCACAGTAGTTATGGCCCAGCAAAAATCTATCCCCAGTACCCCAGGCACAACTCAAACTGCTTATTTGCCCTCTAAGAGTATTGTCTGCATGTCTGCACATGTTGTTGTTGTTGTTATGTGCCATCGAGTTGGCCCCGACTCATAGCGACCCCTCCTTGGGTTTCCGAGGCAGTATCACTACGGAAGTAGGATTGCTCAACCTTCCTTCCAAGGAGTGGCTGGTGGGTTTGAACCGCCAGCCTTCTGGTTAGCAGTCAAGTGATTTAGCCACTATGCTACCAGAGCTCCCTAGCAAGACTATATTAAAATTAGGTTCGGATCCCACTGCTGTCACCAAAAAACAAACAAACAAAAAGACTATATTAATATTAGTTCCAGTTCTCTAGCTGCAGGAGCTCTGGTAGCATAGTGGCTAAGACACTTGCCTGCTAACCAGACGGCTGGCGGTTCAAACCCACCAGCCACTCCTCGGAAGGAAGGTTGAGCAATCCTACTTCCGTAGTAATACTGCCTCGGAAACCCAAGGAGGGGTCGTTATGAGTCGGGGCCGACTCGACGGCACATAACAACAACAACAACAAGAAGCCACATGGGGCAACCATAATGGATAGCACAGATCTAGAATCCAAAGAAAGTATTATGCACTGCCATCAACTCAATTCCAAATCATAGCATCCCCCACTGGGTTTCCAAGGCTGTAAATCTTTATGGAAATAAATTGCCTCATCTGCTTCCTGAGAAGCAGCTGGTGAGTTTGAACTGCTGACCTTATGGTTAGCAGCCAAATGCCTTACCCACTATGCAACCAGAGCTCCTTAGAAAAGTATTAGTAGTTATAATAACCAAAAAACCAAACTCACTGCCACCAAGTCGATTGTGACTCACAGGGACCCCTTTGGTTTTCTGAGGTGGTAAATCCTTACAGAAGAGATTTCCCAGTCTTCCTTCCACAGAGTGGCTGGTGGGTTTGAACTGCCAACCTTCTGGTTAGCAGTCAAATGCACCACCAGAGCTCTTTAGTATCATAGTGATACTGCCTCGGAAACCCAAGGAGGGGTCACTATGAGTCGGGTCTGACTCGAGGGCACATAACAACAACAATAGTAAAAAATAGTGCTAACATTTAGCAAGAGCTTCCTCTCTCCCAGGCATTGTTCTAAGTATATTACATCTAACTGTATACAAATGTACTAAATGTACTACTATTTTCCAAGTCTCTTGTGATGAAAAGATAAACCATATAAAATTTTTACTAACTTTGCTATATTTTTGATATCATGTATTTTCTAAATCTGTACGTACTAAAGTAATTACCATCAGTCAATGATTTTTTTTTTTTAACCTTATAAAGGGGTCAGTTCTTATATTCAAAAGATTAGGAACCAATGACTTAAAAAAAATCAGCAGAGGGAGCTGATAAAAGAAAGAAAAAAAAAGATGTTCACCCTGAGGTTTCCCCAGCCCTTCCCCTGATGCTCTAGGAGACAAGCATTCTGAAAGTAGAGGGTATCTCTTGTACCCCCACAAGCAAGGACACAGGGAGGAGAAGTGTTTTGGTTTATCTGCCATTGGAGTGAGACACCATCTGCTCACCTATGCCCTGTGGGTTTTCCTGTGTATGTACCTGAGCCCCCTGGCCTATGAGTCTGGAGGCTGCAGGTGTGTGAGTATGTGGGGATTATAGTACTGTTGGGGCACCCAATTCTACTCACCTGAGCACATCTCCCCTTTATAGCGGACACAGGAGAAGTCATCACACTCGCAGTACTTGCCCGTGATCTTGCCAAAGTCACTGCTGTGGCAGACACACTGGCCACACAGGCACTCTCCCCGTTGGCTGCAGACAGGCTGGCCCTCTCGGGGGCTGCATTCATCCTGCTGGGAGGGGTGGTAGTCTTCCTCTGAGCATTCACACTGGGACCCTAGCCAACCAGGCCTGCAGCGGCACACCCCACACTCAAAGGTCCCATTGCCGTTATTACAGCGAGAGCTGTTAGGCTCAGCCTGGGCCTGGCAGGCACAGTCGCAGTCGAAGGTGACCTGGACAGTAAGGCTGTCTTTGAAGCCCACAGGCTTGATGATGAAGGACTTCTCCTTCTCCTGGGGGCACCCACGCACCTTGGCCTCGATGCTGAAGCTCACCTGGATGAAAAGCAAAATCTCAATTAGACACAGGTGAGCCCTGGAGGAGAAGCAGCTGTCCCTGCCCTATCAGTGTCGGGTTACCTGATAAGCAAGGTAAGCACAGGTTTACTTGTGCTTATTAATCCCTAGTGAACAGTTTGCTGTTTGGTACAGATTAGTAAGCAAGCACAAGGAAGCCCGTGCTTACCTTGTTTACTGGGTAATACGCCCCTGAGAGGATCCTCCTGGGATCTGAGGCTCCTCAGCCTTCCTACTACCAGAGGCTACAGAGCAAATCAAGTGCAGTAGGACACTGTACAGTCATGACATATCTGGCTGGGTTAAGAGACAGAGCTTACAGTCATAAAATTAAAAGCTGGTTTTTAAAACCACAAGTGAAATAAAGCAGCCCAAGCAAAACAGAGCCTGTGATCTTGTGAACACTGCGCTCTGTCCAACAACAGCACTGATGACACAGTATCAGCGAGACGCACACAGCACTATTTTATACCACATGTGGTGGCCAACGCCAGGCTCAGGATCTATTCAATGCCCCATCACATTTCATCACTCATGCAAGCAAGCACACAGCAGGCCAATGTTGCTTGCATGGTGTGTGTGTGTACAGGTGCCCAGGGTCCCCCTCATCCTCTGTCCCCACTGCCCCTCTGCCCTTAAAACCAAACCAAACACACTGCCATTAAGTCCAATCCGACTCATAGCCACCTCCATTGGGTTTCCAAGGCTGTAAATCTACAGAAGTAGATTGCCCAGTCTTGCTTCTGCATAGTAGCTGGTAGATTTGAACCACCAACCATCTGGTTAGGAGCTCTGGTAGCATAGTGCCTAAGGCACTTGACTGCTAACCAGAAGGCTGGAGGTTCAAACCCACCAGCCACTCCTCAGAAGGAAGGTTGGGCAATCTACTTCTGTAGTGATACTGCCTCAGCAACCCAAGGAGGGGTCTCTGTGAGTGGGGATCGACTCGACAGCACACAACAACAACAACCATCTGGTTAGAAGTCAGATGCCTTAGGCACTGTGCTACCAGAGCTCCCCTTAGGCAGAACCAATAAGGAAAGCCCTAGATGGACTGGCAGGGCAAAAGGAACATTCGCATGTCTTGAGGGCAGGTATTTTTGCCTATTCCGTTTGCTGTCTTACCTTCGGTGGCTAGAACAATGACTGACACGGGTTGTTGACCCCATGTACAGGTAGAATTGCCCCATAGGTTTTTCTAGGCTGTAATCTTTAGGGAAGTAGAGGGACCACCAGGTGTTTCTCCTGCAGAGCCACTGAGCAGGTTCAAATTGCCAACCTTTTGGTTAGCAGTCAAGTGCTCAACCATTAAGCCATCAGGGCTCCTTGCCTGGCACATAGTCTCAATAAATATTTATGGGATAGATGGCACTGCCATTTTACACTGGTCATATGAGGCGGGGAACAATGTCATTGCTTCAGGGGAAGGCTGGGAACCGGTCAGGGGCTGAAGGATAGGAATGTTTTCTTTTTGCAATCACCTTTGCATAAACAGATATAGCCCAAGTACAAATTTGAAAGAAAAAAAGAAAATCCTGAAAGTAAAGTTTACTTGTTGTTGTTATTTGCCGTCAAGTCAGCCTCGACGCATAGCGACCCCTCCTTGGGTTTCCAAGGCAGTATCACTACAGAAGTAGGATTGTACAACCTTCCTTCCGAGGAGTGGCTGGTGGGGTTGAACCACCAGCCTTCTGGTTAGCAGTCAAGTGCCTTAGGCACTATGCTACCAGAGCTCCTAAAGTTTACTTAATAGATAGCAAAAAAGAGGGCTTAGCCCATTGACGTCTCAGAGGAAAAGTTAGCAGCTCCATTGCATCTACTGTGTGATGACCTTCAGGAAGAAGGTCCAGGAAAGGAAGGGGGTGGGGTGAGCATACATGTTCTGGACTATAGGCGGGGTCACAGCTTCAGCTTCAGCCCTGGCCCAGCCCACCTCACCGTGTCTCCGATCTTGAGTCCAACACAAGACTTGAGGCCTGGGATGACCTCATTGTTGAGGCACGTGGCATTGAAGGACAGAGATAACTCCTCGGGGAGATCACGCACTTCCAGCTCTACTTTGGAGCGGATTTTCTAAGCAGAAAGGAGCAAAAGAAGATAAGAGATTAGGCTGGGAGGAAATGGACGAGAGCCAGTTCTATCACAAGGCCTGGACTCACCCTGGTTGTGCCAGATGCTGATTTGCCTGGAAGCTTCCAGAGCACCTCAGGAGCTTCCGTTTTCTGCTATATTTCCTGCCCATAAAACTGCTCCCTCTACATGTCCCCACTTCTATCTAGGTGAGTCTGGGTAAAATCTAAACCAGCAACACCCTCCTGCAGGCCTCATGGGTGCACAAAAGAAGAGTGCTAGTACTAGCTACCTTGGGTAGTAATACTATCTAATTTTTAACCAGTAATGCCTTCTCCATGATTCAGCTCCCTCCTTTTCCCTGATGTTAGAATCCCTCACTCTGAATCCCACAACCTCAGAGTCCTGCTCTTTCTTCATCTAACCACAATACCCATTGACATCTTCTCTCTCCTTTCACATCCTCTAAACTCTCTACCCATTTTCTTTGCTATTCCCTAGCATTCCTTTCTGAGACATTTCTTCATTGGAAGATTGCATGTCTTCAGTGCTGGCCATCGCCTGGCCTCCGGGGGCATAAGAGAAAGGCTACAAAGCTATATGGTAGACCGGAGGCCAGTACCACCAAATCTGAGCCCGAGTGAGAAGACCTCTCCACAAGCCCATTCCCCACTGAAGGCACTCACCCCATAGGCCTCAACAATGAGCTGGAGGACATTGCTGGAATCTGTGGACAGAATTCCCACTGTGGTCCCTGGGATGAGCTCACTGTAATTCTAGAAAGGAAAAGAAAGATGCCTAAGACTTACCAGAGCAAGGTGGTGGTCTCCAAAGTCCCTCCTCAAATCAGATAGAAGGTTTTGAAATGAAGATTAGAAGGCATTGAATATTTTACTTGTCACTACCAGTAGTTTTTCAGCCCTGAGCAAAATTATAGAAAGTCTTTCATACTCCTCACCCCATTGAATTACCTCCCCTCCAGCATTGAGAAAACCAACACACCCCTCCTGGTAGGTTCAAGGTTGGAGAGGAGAGACACAAAGAAAGGAATCTTTGTTGTTGTTTTTAGGTGCCGTCAAGTCAGCTCCGACTCATAGTGGCTTCATGTACAACAGAACAAAACTCTGCCAAGTCCTGTGCCAGCCTCACAATCCTGGCTATTCTTGAACCCATCACTGCAGCCACTATGTCAATCCATCTCATTGAGGGCCTTCCCCTTTTTTGCTGACCCTCACTTTACCAAGCATGATATCCTTCTCCAGGGAATGGTCCCTTCTGACAACAAAAACAAAGTAGGTGAGATGAAGTCTGGCCATTCTCACTTCCAAGGAGCATTCTGGCTGCACTTCTTTCAGGTCAGATTTGTTCGTTCTTCTGGCAGCCCATGATATTTTCAATGTTCTTCGCCAACACAATTCAAAAGCATCACCTCTTCTTTGGTCTTCCTTATTCACTGTCCAGCTTTCACATGCATATGAGGCAATTGACAATACCATGGCTTGGGTTAAGCACACCTTAGTCTTCAAAGAAGCATCTTTGCTCTTCAGTACTTTAAAGAGGTCTTTTGCAGCAAGTTTGCCCAATGTAATACATCTTCTGATTTCTTGACTGCTGCTTCCATGGGTGTTTATTGTGGATCCAAGTAATATGAAATATTAGACAACTTCAATCTTTTCTCCATTTCTCACGATACTGCTTATTGGTTCAGTTGTGAGGAGTTTTGTTTTATGTTGAGATGTAATCCATACTGCAGATTGTAGTCTTTAATCTTCATCAGTAAATGCTTCAAGTCATCTTCACTTTCAGCAAGCAAGGTTATGTTATCAGCATATTGTGGGCTGTTAGTGAGTCTTCCTTCAATCCTGATGCCACATTCTTCTTCATAAAGAACAGTTTTTTTGATTATTTGCTCAGCATACAGATTGAATAAGTACGGTGAAAGGATATAATCCTAATGCACACCATTCCTGATTTGAAACCATGCAGTATCCCCTTGTTCTGTTCAAATGACAGTCTCCTGGTCTATGTACAAGTTCCTCATGAATACAGTTAATTGTTCCAGAATTCCCATTCTTCACAATATCCACAATTTGTTATGATCCACAAAGTCAAATGCTTTTGCATAGTTAATAAAACACAAGTAAACATCTTTTTAGTATTCTTTGCTTTCAGCCATGATCCGTTTGGCATCAGCAATGATATCCCTTGTTCCACGTCCTCTTCTGAATCCAGCTTGCATTTCTGGAAGTTACCAGCCAATATACTGCTGCAACCATTTTTTGTTTTTCGTTTTTAATTATCTTCAGCAATATTTTACTTGCATGTGATATTAATGATACTGTTCGATAATTTCAACATTCTGTTAGATAGCCTTTCTTTGGAATGAGTACAAATATGGAACTCTTTCAGTCAGTTGGCTAAGTAGCTGTCTTCCAAATTTTGGGGCATAGACGAGTAAGTGCCTCCAGTGTGGCATTCATTTGTTGAAACATCTCAGTGGGTATTCCATCAATTTCTGGAGCCTTGTGTTATGCCAGTTCCTTCAGTGTAGCTTGGACTTCTTCCTTCAGTACCATTGGTTCTTGATCATATGCCACCTCCTGAAATGGCTGAACATCAACCAATTCTTTTTGGTACAGTGACTCCGTATTCCTTCCATTTTCTTTTGATGCTTCCTGCATCATTCAATATTGTGCCTATAGAATCCTTCAATATCGCAACTCAAGGCTTGAAATTTTTCTTCAGTTCTTTCAGCTAAAGAAATGTCAAATGTGTTCTCCCCTTTTGGTCTTCTAATTCCAGTCCCTGTGCATTTCATTATAATAATTGACTTTGTCTTCTTGAACTGTTCTTCAAAATCTTCTGTTCAGCTCTTTTATCTTGTCACTTCTTCCATTTGCTTTGGCTACTCTCCGTTCACATTTGACTGCTAACCAGAAGGCTGGTGGTTCAAACCCACCAGCCACTCCTTGGAAGGAAGGTTGGACAATCTACTTTTGTAGAGATACCACCTCGGAAACCCAAGGAGGGGTAGCTATGAGTTGGATCTGACTCCATGGCAGTGGGCTTGGGGTTTTGTGTGTGTGTGTGTGGTTTACTCTCCGTTCAAGAGCAAGTTTCAGAGTTTCTTCTGACATTCATTTTGGTCTCTTCTTCCTTTCCTGTCTTTTTAATGACCTTTTGCTTTCTTTATGTATGATGTTCTTGATGTCATCCCACAATTCATCTGGTTTTTAGTCACTGGTGTTCAATCTGTCAAATCTATTCCTCAGATGATCTCTAAATTCAGGTGGGATATAATCAAGGTTATATTTTGGTTCTCGTGGACTTGTTTTAATTTTCTTTGCATATAAGCAATTGATGGTCTGTTCCACAGTCAGCTCCTGGCCTTGTTTTTGGTGAAGATATAGAGCTTCTCCATCACCTCTTTCCACAGATGTAGTCAATATGATTTCTGTGTATCCCACCTGGCGAAGTTCACGTGTATAGCTGACATTTAAATGTTGTTGAGAAAGGTATTTGCAATGAATAAGTCATTGGTCTTGCAAAATTCTATCATGCAATCTCCAGCATCATTTCTATCACTAAGGCCATATCTTCCAACTGCCAGTGATTGTTCTTTGTTTCCAACTTTCACATTCCAATCACCAATAATCATCAATACATCTTGATTGCACATTTAATCAATTTCAGACTGCTGAAGTTAGTAAAAATCTTCAATTTTTTTCATCTTTGGCTTTAGTGGTTGGTGTGTAAATTTGAATAATAGTAATATTAATGGTCTTCCTTGTAGACATATGGATATTATTCTATCACTGACAGCTTTCTACTGCAGGATAGATCTTGAAAATTCTTTATAATGATGAATGCCACACCATTCCTTTTCAACTTGTCATTCTCAGCATAGTAGATCATTTGATTGTCTGATTCAAAATGACCAAAACCAGTCCATTTCAGCTTACCAATGCCAAGGATGATCTTTATGCATTCCATTTCATTTTTGACAACCTCCAATTTTCCTAGATTCATACTCCATACATTCCATGTTCCTATTATTAATGGACATTTACAGCTGTTTCTTCCCATTTTGAATCATATCCAGTCAGCAAATGAAGGCCCTGAAAGCTTTATTCCACTCACATCATTAGGTCAACTCTACTTTGATAAAGCAGCTCTTCCCCAGTGGTATTTTCAGTTCCTTCCAACCCAAGAGGCACATCTTCTGGCACTGTATCAGACAATGTTTCAACCTGGTAGGTTCCTCCTGGTAGGTTCAAGTTTGAAGGGGATGAGCACACAGAAAGGAAGCGTTAGCTCCTGGGAAACAAGTTCCTGGTGAGGATCATGAATAATGCTACCATGGGATCATCATCCAAGTGCAGGCTCCGTGGGCAAGCTTCCTGGTTCAGGCTTACCCATCACAGGTCCCACTCTAGGAAGCTCCAAAGGCATAGTCACCTGGTAAAGGTTGACAACATTGTCAGTCACTGCAAAGATCAAATTGATGTTTTTTTGGGACAGCTTCTCAGTCATCAGCCCCAAAGAGGGATAATCCTTAAAAAAAGAAGAAGAAAAAAAAAAGGGGGGATTAGTGGAGAAATCTGGTAGTGCTCGGCTGCTAACCATAAGTAGTTTAAACCCAAAACTCAAAATCATTAAAAAGGCCAGGTTTATTGATCTGATAGAGCCTGGTGAGACCCCACGAGACTATGGCCTCTAGGTACTCTTTAGGTCTGAAATTGAACTCACTCCCTTGGCTTCCAGCCAAACAATAGACAGGCATATCAGGTGAACATTCACATCAGGCAGATACACTCCTTAGAATAATCAATCACAGAAGAACAGAAGGGCAGTATTTGCACAGGGAGATAGCTCAGGGGGCAGAGATGCACAGGAAAGAAGGGCACAGGGAATA